CAAGCTCCGATACAGTGCTTCAATGTAAAATGTGTTGTTTTTTTGATACAAGCTTCGGTGTTGAATGCAACATCACTACTGTGTGGTTAATGAGGAGCAAAACATCTTAAAGTAATTTTAGTAGACATTAAGCATTGTGATGACCTCTGCTATGTGCACCTATCAGCAATCAACACAAACACAATATCTTAAACTGACAGTTTTGAAAATGAATGTTAAAGGATAATGTACTGAATTTAACAATTGAAACAAACCTAATCAACTGCACCAAAGTCAACAAAACCATAAACACTAACAATGCAAAGAAACACAGGACTATAAATGGCATTTTTAAAAGAATTTCACACTCCAGCGATTGAGATGGTGATGACCTCATCTTAGCCCCCCCCCCGTCATCACAAAATGTAATCAGTTACATTACTTTAATAAAGTAATTGAAATAGTTTCACTACTTATTACATTTTAAATAGGGTAACGTGTAATCTGTATCCTGCGCCGCATTGTTTAAATAGCAAATGCATTTGCGCCCATTTGCGCGCCCATGGGCGTGCTGGTCTAAAAAAGAGGTGTGATAAGGCACATCCAAGAAAAAAATATCGTCTTATATTCGGGACAATACGGTACATTTCCAAAGTAACCTTCCCAACACTGATTAACAGCAATGATTATGGGCCCTATCATACACGCAAGTCAGAATTAGGCTACCTATTTGCTCGCGCACGAGCAGATCCGTTTCATCTCTGGAGACACGTTCTGTCTGTGCGCCTTAAAATTCCGCCGTTTAAATAGCGAATCCGCCATGGCACGAGCGCAACTGCTTATTAAAGGTAATGTGAGATGAGACTCTGATTGGTTTATTGCACGTTATGCCCAAAAACACACTCATTACTCATTAAAGGCAGAGTAAGTGATTTCTGGATAGACCAACTCAAACCTGGTCTAAAGTCTAAAGTCAATGGTGCAATATTTTTTTTGTTATTTAAAGTGATCGCTAGTAGAAAATGCGCCTCTGGGCGGGTCCACAACGCACATTTACTTTGCTTATTACACACAGGGATGGGCAGCAGCACACAAACATGCCAAATATTAAAAATTAAAGGGTTACAGTGTAAAATAATATTATTGTGTAGGCTACATAAATATAAAAATGTCATAATAGATCGTCATTGCATGTATCAGAATTAGGCTACCTATTTCGCTGGAAAGCTGATCCGATATTTTCACGGGTCCTACTTCTTGCCTTATCTTTCCGCAGACGTTTTCCTCTTTTGTTTTTTTATCCGCCATCTCTATCTTTCTGTCGCTCGGCTCGGCTAATGTCCGTCCCATGCACTGACCGCGCTCTCCTCCACATCACGAGTAGACACGCCCCTTATTGCTGATTGGCTACAAGTTTGTTTTGCGATTCGGCCCGAATCAGTTTTCTAAAGTGTTTTTGAAAAATCACTTACTCTGCCTTTAAAAGAATAGGGACAACCCTTTTAGACCATGCACCGACCGGAGCACCGACCGGTTTTCCCGTCGTTATACTAGCAAAAGTAGATTTGGAAACGTCCTAAGTGCACCTGCGCTGTGCGCTTTAGACCATGCCCTTAGATCATTTAAATAGGGCCCTATATGTTGCGATCAAACTTATAGCAGTGTTTGGTAGTTCTGTATGTTGGTCCAGGGTTGGCATCATCTGAGGTCCTCTGAGGCACCATCTCTTCTCAGGTGTTCTCAAGTAATTGCTTTATGAATATAACTCAAATTGAAAAGACAAGGGAAGTTGTGTGAAAGTATGTCTATGTGAAATGAAGCAATGCAAAATTAAGTGACTGTCTGGTGTCTAAGATAATTATTAAAACAGGGCCTCGGCACTCAATGAGAACAGCCTTCATGTCTATTCACTTCAGTGTCCAGTTCACACAATGATCATCTACCAGTGACTTCAGCTCTCACATCAATCTGAAACAGACCGTGACTTTATATGATGATGCATATATGTGGAAACATCGCAAAAGCAAATCAAAGCCATTGCTATCATGAAACTGGTGATGATGACATATGTATTATTTCTTATGCCAATGTACACATAATATTCTTGGAGTAGCTGCTGACCTATGTTGAAGAGGACTGTGCCATCAGAACAATACTTTAAGGTTTATGCACTGTATTATATAATCAATTACAATGTATACAATTATAATGATTACAATAATAACCCTTCTACAACAGAAGAGAAGCTCCAAGATTTCAGACAGAGAAGCAAGAAACATAGTTAAGATGAGAAAGCTCATTAAATCACTTCATATGCAATTTTTCACAACATATTTGCTTATATTACAATGCATCTGCTATTTTAGGAAGGTTTTGACATCCAAACATGAGTGACAAAAACCTAAAATCATTAATTCTGTTATTTTTTGTATATATTTATTTTCAAGTGATCATGAAAAGCTTAATTAGCTGGTTCAGGTGGGTTTGATGAGGGTTGGAGCTGAACTCTGCAGGACTGCGGCTCTCTAGGACCGAACTTGCCTACCCCTGCTCTATGCTGATGGCCGTGCAGCAGAGATGGAGCAAACCTCCTGTCGGACAACATCTCTTAGGCACTATGAACCATATGACTAGTAAGAAACACCTCAAACATTCACTACTGTTGAAAAGTTTGAGGTTGGTACGATTTGTTTTTGAAAGAAGTCTCTTCTGCACACAGCCTCAACCATTCATCAGAAGTTAAGATGAGAAAGCTCATTAAATCACTTCATATGCAATTTTTCACAACATATTTGCTTATATTACAATGCATCTGCTATTTTAGGAAGGTTTTGACATCCAAACATGAGTGACAAAAACCTAAAATCATTAATTCTGTTATTTTTTGTATATATTCTGTATATATATTCATTTTCTTTTCTGCATTTCACTTCTGCTCTATCTTGTTTCCTTTAAATAAACCTGGTATTGTATACTAAATATGGTTGGTTCTGCGATAAATTGCATGTTATGTTTCTAGATTCCTCTATGCCAGGGGTAGGCAAGTTCGGTCCTAGAGAGCCGCAGTCCTGCAGAGTTCAGCTCCAACCCTGAAAACAAAACTCACCTGCCTATAGCCTTAGTAATCCTGAAGACATTGATTAGCTTGTTCAGGTGTGTTTGATTAGGGTTGGAGCTGAACTCTGCAGGACTGCGGCTCTCTAGGACCGAACTTGCCTACCCCTGCTCTATGCTGATGGCCGTGCAGCAGAGATGGAGCAAACCTCCTGTCGGACAACATCTCTTAGGCACTATGAACCATATGACTAGTAAGAAACACCTCAAACATTCACTACTGTTGAAAAGTTTGAGGTTGGTACGATTTGTTTTTGAAAGAAGTATCCTATGTACCCAGCCTCAACCATTCATCAGAAGGACTGTGAAAGCGGGAACTCTTTGAACCACCAGTGGCAGTTTCCACGGGATGGAAAAAAGGGCATAGTAGTGGATGATAGGGGTACTGACATTATCCTGCTGTATTCACTGTATTACACACTGGGGATGACATTTTTGTCAGTTTTTCATTTCAAGTACTGATAGGCCTTTATTTTGATGGTCTGGACGGCATGCTGTCCTAACACTAACCAGTCAGAGCTTAGGTTCCACCCAAAATGCTGCCATAACCAATCAAAAAAAGAGAAATATATAAAGTAACGGTGATCACTGAGTGCTCAGAATTGACAGCGATGATCGATCATGAAAATGATGATTGCAATGACTTTTAAAAAATGATCGACCATCGCTGTCGAGTACTCTAGTACTTGTGCACATCCCTAATCAGGGCCGTGCACAGACCTTTTGATGGGCATGTGCCACCCCCTTTTTTAAATTGGTCACATCAGTTTTTCCTGTTGTAAAATACATTTGGCCAAAATCTCATTTTATAAAAGATGAAATGCTACTGTATGCACAGGCTATGTAAAGTATTGGCTATGAGTAGATGGCAAATACTAGCCTTCTCTCTCCGGTCCCACACAGTCCTCAAATGCATGAAATATGAGCCTTTACAGACATAGTGTTTCTTGTGTAAAGAAATCGCTGCACTTATTCAAACAACAAGATCTTTATTTACCTTTGCAAGACCCGATAGAGGGGGTAGAGTTATGAGATTTGACTGACAGTTTGAGCGGATCCAACATGATTTAGTCACAAGCTCTTTTAAATACCTTTCATTGGCTAAATATTTGTGAAACAGGCAGACAAACGTAAATGGTGACCAATAGCATTGATTTATTGAAGTAAAAAACACCACCACCAAAAAAGGGCACTTGGGAGTGTAAGGGCAAAAAGGGCATGTGCTCTGCACAGGTCGAGCCCTACCTGTGCACGTGCCTGCTGCTACAAATATATGCTTTGCATTTGCTCAAATAACAAAAGAAAAACTCCATGATAGGGTTTTCACGACGAAAAAATATATAGAGAGAGAGATGGATAACGGCAGTCAGAAGAGAGAATGGTGTCAGATTTACTGTCACTCTCATAGACGCTGCATTAGACACCGCTTTACAGCAGTGGCAACTACATCTTTGTGACTTGTTGCAAAGTATAGTGTTATAAATGTACATCATTTAAAAAAATATATATTAAAACTTTTGGAGGATTTCCGATGAAATGCATCATCACAGTCTTATGATTAGGGGTGTAATGATGCACGTATTCGTATTGAACCGTTCGGTACGAGGCTTTCGGTTCGGCACGCATTACAAACCGAACGATTCGTTGGACTAATCCTATTACAGAATACTGTAATATCCGAGGTTTGATTAGTGCGTGCGCGCATTTAGAGTGCGTTCTTTCGCTGCATGATTCAGTCTATTAAAATGCATTTAGAATGATCACAAAATTCAAGATATGGGGGCAGAAAATTTATATATTTACAAAATTTCATATAGTTAATCAATATCACAGAAGAGTGCTGTTTTTTCTCTCCAAAAATCATCATGATTGCAAATGATTTTTACAACAGTTCAATAAGCAAGAAGTTTATATTAAGAGATTTACGTTTTAGACAGCATATTGGTTGTTTTTGCTCTATTTCTCCAACAAAAATCATACCAAACACAGCCACAGCACTGTTTTGCGTCTCTGAGCAACATGACGGTGATTCGTTCCTGAATGAATCAACCGTTTAAATGATTCGGTTCAATCGCAATGACTCACTTATTACCAGTGACTTGCTGCCACCTGCTGGCGGTTTTAATTTCACATTTACATCAGTTGTCAACGTTGTGTTTAAAATCAAAACATTATTTATGCATGTGTAACTGCAGGTTAAAGCATTACATGTCCCTCTGAGCTGCATTAAACAGTGTGTAAATGCCATTTAGATGCAACTTCTATGTTTCCTCTGCATTGCAAAATTTTGTCAATACTGACTTCATTTGCTTGGTAACAGTCCAAATGTCTTATTGACTGATTAAATGTAAAAAATGGACTCAAAAGGTGATGCACACTTTTAGAAAGAAATGGCTTTCTAAATGTAAAAATGCATATAAAAGGTAAAAATCTATTTAAACCTATTGGAAAAGATTAATCTGCTACATGACAATAGGCTACATCAGCTGGAATACTTCAAACCGGAGCTGTTTTTGTTTTATATGCTGCTAAGAAGACACCCCAGAAGATGGGTCAAGTATAGCTCCATCATTGTTCAGAGTAAAAAAATAGTTTTAATAAATAAAAAATGTGTAAAAATCAAGGAAATTTCTCTGGCATGTCTTTATTTTTGCTGTATCGTATCGAACCGAACCGTGAATCTTGTGAACCGTTACACCCCTACTTCTGATGTAATGATATGATGATAAGGGTCTTTTATTTGGCTGCTGATCTCAGCTGTTGCTGGAGCATCTGGAGCGTCTCGTATCTCGACACGAGCCTTCACTCAGGAGAACCGCAGTCAGGTGTCACGCCTGCATCTATGACGAGGTGAAGGTGCTCAAGGCAAACAAAGCCCTGGATCAGAAGGTACTGGTATCAGGAAGCTCACGTGTGTGGCGCTGGTGTGTTTGAGATGTGTTTATGTGTGGCGTGTTTGTTTCAATCAGGTGAGAGAGTGTCTGCAGGTGGCTCTGGAGAGATGCAGCATGCTGCAGGAGCAGCTCACAGCCGCTCATAAAGAGGTGAGACCAGACAAAGCATAGCCTCGGAGTTATAATAATGTGACGGTGGGTTAATGTTGGTCTCTGGGTTGTTGTAGCTGGCGTTTCTCAAGGAGCAGAGCAATCAGTAGAAGCTGATGATTAGCTCTGATGCAGCACCAAACACTAACGGCAAGGTAAACACCACGCGACCAAAACTTACGTGCTCTGAAAAGACATCATAAGAGTAATCGAGATGATGAACCAGGCAAGGACTGGCCATCGGGACCACCGGGAGACTTCCCGGTGGCCTGGCGGCTGATTTGGCCCGCTTCCCGGTGGCCTGGGGGCTGATTTGGCCCCCTGCCCTTTTTTTTTTTTTTTTGTTATTATTATTATTAATATTTTATATTTATGCCTTCTCGATGTACCAAAGTGATCATTTCCGATTTTTTCATTCGATAATAAATCGTACATCAGTTAGCCTTGACTGTCAGCGCTGCGTGTGTTTCACGCTTCCGTCAAACGGTTCCGAGCAGAACCGACGCGCGGGACTCGATGAAAGAGAGGAAGCGGCCAGAAGCAGCAGTGAAAAGCAGCTACATCACTGACCTGTTCAGGGCTTCAAGTGCAGGTCAGCTTCATCTGTAAATACGCTAGATAGTTTTGTCTTTATTAACCTAGTTGAGTATTAAACTGCTAGTATATGTTAGGCTATCAGTAGCAGCTCGTTTTTATCGTCATTCAGAATGCTGTGCTGAAGGACATCAATATCGATGGTAAAGTTACATTAAAACATTTAGCAGAGACAGATATTCACATGGATTTATTGTACAGGGAGGGAGGGCGCTAGAGACAGCAATACAAAAATAATATGAGTAACAGGCTCAGCCTAATAATTCAATAATAATAGTGTATTAGACTTTTTCAACAAATATATTGTATAAATATATACTAATTTTGATATTTAGGCAGTTTAGAAATTGTGTTTTAATACACTACCAGTCAAAAGCTTTTGATCAGTAAGATTTTTAATGTTTTTAAAGAAATCTTTTCTGCTCACCAAGCCTTCATTTACTGATCCAAAATACAGCAAAAACAGTAATATTGTGAAATATTTTTATTAAACGGTAATATATTTCTGTGATGCGCAGCTGTATTTTCAGCATCATTACTCCAGTCTTCAGTGTCACATGATCTTCAGAAATCATTCTAATATGCTGATTTGCTGCTCAAGAAACATTTATTATTATTATTATTATTATTAATTATTATTATGTTGAAAACAGATTCGATATTTTTTTCAGGTTTCTTTGATGAATAGAAAGTACAATTATAAATATCTTTATCATCACTTTTGATCAATTTAAAGCATCCTTGCTAAATAAAAGTAATACTTTCTATAATCCTTTGGATCTTTCTATTCATCAAATAATCCTGATGTACTGTTTGAAATATTGATAATAATAATACTAATAATAATAATAATCAGAAATGTTTCTTGA